ATAGTGAAGACTTATGACCAAAACAAGAACGTTATACGTATCTCATCAATAATTGCATATTGATTACATGTTGAAATGATATAGTTTGGCTATAATAAAATATATTAGAAAAATTAATTTCACCCTTTACTAATTTTTAAAATTATGATTACTAGAAATTTAAAAATTGCAGAATGTGCTCACATTTGCAGCTTGCATTATACAGTATTTCTTTTGGACAGCACTGCTCTGTAGCCTGAAACTTCCACTCTCTGAGCACAGCAATCTCCAGGCACACTACTCCTCCAGCTCTGGACCACAGCAAACTCTTCAGGCTTTTAGTAGCTCACCCATCAGCGGCCTGATAAACAGCTAAGTAGATAAGAGACCAGTGAAATTATGCTAAATGCCTGAGGGACAAGTGAAAGCAAGAAGGCAAGGAAGGGCCTTTCTAGTATAGGAGAGAGTCAGAATATATGACTCCAGTCTTCCATAAAAAATGGGAATAGTCAAAATTTCTCTTGAAAATCCTTTAAATTATCTATGAAGTAGAGTAAATGTGGTTTTGTGTAAAGAGCAGGTGTATATCTCAAATTCATGACAGGGTAAAACCTCACTGAATTTTATTTTTCACTCACAAATGGGTGTTACTTAAAAGATATTGTTTCATTTTGAAATCTAATGGAGAAATATAAATTAAGGAATGATTTTAAGAATCTTATATGCCAGAAATAGGTCCACAGAAAAAGAGTCAACTCATCTCAGACACAGGAGCAAAGGCAATGGAGAAAAGATGGACTTTCAACAAATATTGCTGGAGAAACCAGATGTCCCTATGCAACTACACAGACTCTAGATGCAGACTTGACAGCTTTCCCTAAAAACTAACTGAAATTGGTTCGCAGATTTATTGATTTTACAGTGCTAGGGATCAAACCCACCCAGGCATTTACTGCTGGGACATGCTAGGCAAAGGTTACACCACTGGCCTATGTCCCAACCAGGATGACAGATCTAACTGGAAGCACAAAATTATAAAATTTCTGGAAGCTAACAGGTAATCTTGGATTTGATGATGATTTTTTAGATAAAACTCCAAAAGCACAATTCATGAAAAAACACTGATAAACTGAAGTTCATTGACATTTAAAACTACTCACAAAGCTGCCATTAAAAGAATGAAACGGTGTGGTGGGGCATGTTTATAATCATAGCACTAGGGAGGCTGAGGCAGGAGGATCATTGTGAATTCAAGGACAGCCAGGGCTTCACAGTGAATTCAAGACCAGTCTGAACTACATGGTTAGACCTTGGACGGAGTGGGGTGGGTGGGAAACAGCACAAGCAAGCTATCTCATCATTCTTATAGTCAGTATCAAGACCAGGGAAATTGACAGCAGCACAATCCTGTTAAAAGACTATAGCTTTCTGTTTTCTCCAGTGTGTACATGCACTCATTTGTGAGTGCTGTTCTATACCTTTGACTGCATGTATAGATTTTTGTAACCATCACCAGAACACTGAGTATCATCACCAGAGCGCCTTTTTACTATCATTTCATAGTTGCACTCTTCTCCAACACTGTCCCTTGTTCTCTGCAACTATGCAACAGTTCTCTGTCTCTGTACTTTTGTCACTAAGGTTATGACATAAGTGAAATCATATGGTATGCAAACTCCTCAGGTTGTTTTTTTCTCCAAGAGAACCCATCTGAATTGCTACAGGTATCAGCATTTGCTCCTATTTTTTTAAAGAAAATAAAAAATAAAAAACCGATAAAAATGCTACAGAATTTCAAAACAAGATGATAGGAAATGAACAATGGTTGTTGTATTGCATATTGTTATCTTCAAAGTAGTTGTTCAGATTATCAGATATAGGCATGTAAAATTGATCAAACAATTAAGTACACTAACTGTTCCTTTCAATAAACCAATAGAAACCACTAGTACAATTACCTTAGCTATCTTGTGTGTTTATATTTCCCTTCCTTCTTTCTCTTCTCCTTTCCCCCATCCTACTTGTTCTTTCCTTTACAGCCATTTCTTTCCCGTTCACAATATCTATTGTATCTTTCAGATTGTAATCTTTTAGTTTCTTTTACTAGGGAGACAATATGATGTTTACACATGTGGGTCTGATGTATTTCACTTATAAGTATGGTCTCTAGTTGCATCCATTTACCTATAGAAGCCTCAAGTTTATCTTTCTGTATAGCTGAGTAATACTCCACTGTATAGAAATACCACATCTTTTTTATCCATTCCTCAGTAGATAGGCATTTGGGTTGTTTCCAAGATGTAGCTATGACAAATTGCACTGCTATAAACATAAGTGCGTATTGCTATGGTACGATATTTTAAATTCTTCTGGGAAAATATCCAGAAGGGGAATAGTTGGGTCGAATGGGACCTTTAATCCTGTATTCTTAAGGAGTCTCTACACTGATTTCCACAGTGGTTGTACCAGTCTACACTCCACCAACAGTGCAGAAGGGTTCCTTTTTCCTCACAGCCTCACCAGCATTTGTTATTGGTTGATTTCTTGATGAGAGCCATTTTACTGCTTAGTAGCATTACGTTGTATGCTAATGATCATAGTGGTTCAACATTCACCTGGTGGAGGATGATTGGGTTACTTCCAGTTTTCACTATTACCAGAGAGAATGTAATAAAAAGGGATTATCAACTAAGTAAAAGGAGTGTTACAGGGTTGAATTGTATTCCTGAAAAAGATGTGCTGAACTCCTATCCTCTGGTACTTAACATGTATATGTTATAACATATTTCATGTACTCTTACTATATACTGCAGCAGAACATAGAACTTAAGCGTGAACCTAAAAGACCATTTTAACTAGAAGTCCATGCTTATTTCTGTTTAAAAACCCTCCTCTCAACTTCTCTGCATGATCTTTCTTTTTTCTTTTTTGTCTTTTTGAGACAGGGTCTCGCTAAGCAGTTCAGGCTGGTCTTGACCTTACTTTGTAGCCAGGCTGGTCTCGAACTCGCAATGATCCTCCTGCCTCAGCCTCCTGAGTGCTGGGATTACAGGTGTGTGCCACCACACCTGGCCCTGGTGACCTTTCTTACTGTTCCTTTCAGTTTAGACATCACCTGACTGAGGGAGCTTTCCAGGTCTTTGTGTTCACCTCCAAATATGGGGCTGGATCTTCTCAAAGCACCTGACTTATAAGAAATTGTGCTGTCCTGTTCGCACCTGTTTACCTTGGATGATAAGGTCCTTGATGGCATGAACTGCCTTTCTTCTGTATTTTTCAGATCTAGGGCGGTGCCTGCAATAAGTGGGGACTCAATAAACACTTCAATATCATCTGTTTCAGAGGTGCTAGGTAGGGAGTGTAACAGTGAAGAACTCCAGGGTTCTGGAGTCAGGGGCTGCTGGGTTTAAATGCGAACTCCACCCCTTGCTATGTGGTTGAAGATAGCAATATAGCCTTAATTTAGTTTCTTCATCTGTAAAATACAGTCATAGTTCAGCTCCTGTCTCTGTTACTTAGTAGCTATGGAACCCTGCGCAAGTTCCGTTACTTCTAAGTTTCCATGCCTGTACTGAGCAACATTTTAAGAATTACATCAAACAGTATAAAGTTATTAGCACCATGGCTCCCTTTTCTGTTTCCTGGTTCTCATTTCATGCTGAGAAGGGTCAACATCGCAGCTCAGCCCAGAGGAGAGCAGCTGAGTCAACCCAAGTGTGAGCATAGGTGGTGACTTTCTCGAAAAGGTCTACACACACATTTATTCCAGCAAAATGGAGCACAGTGTGAATAAGAACTTAAAGGGATAATTCTATGTGCAAATTTAATGTACGTAAAGAAAAAGATGAACTAAAGCTAACTGGCTCATGCTAACTCTTAAAAACAGAAGAGGCCAAGGGTAAGTTTCCTTGAGAATCCATCTTCCAAATGGATTCCAAACCGAACTGCTGAAAAGAGCAGACAGAACTAGAAGAGGATGCGTGTCAGGGGAGAAACTGTAGTAGAGAAGAGCCAGCGCAGCAAAGCACTTTAACACGTTCCCACAGGCTTAAACACTGGTAGTACCTACATGACTGTCCCATCGGGCGGCTTGTACAACTGGTGGTACAAATGGATCAAATCACTTTTAATAGTCTTTTTACTAATAAGATAAAAAAAAGTCACCCAACGGGACAGTCATGCACATACCACCAGTGGTTCAAGCCATTGGGACCGTAACACATTCAAATCAGGGTTGCTGAGTAGTAAGACATGTGAATTATGGCCCCATTATGAACATGTTGAAGTTCAAGGTGCAATGTAAGGCACAGAGATCCTGCTTTCAAACACAACATTCTTAATAAAACTGCCTAATGGGGAATAGAGTTAGAGACTGAGAGAAAATTTTAGTCACTGACAGATAATAACTCTAAAATCCAGACCAAAATACTACAGACAGCAGAAGAAAATAGTGCAACAACCTTGGTGTCAGATAGATCTGGATTCAAATCCTGCCTCAGCCATCTTCCCTTAGTATAACCTTTGGCAAGAAACAACTCTCTGACCCTGAGCAGGGTTCAAAGAGGATCATAACACGCACGAGGATCACAATACACCACTTTACAATACACCACTTTACACCTGTGGACAGAGCACACGCATGAGGAGTTTACAAGGAGTTGGGAGGATCAAACATGACACTCTGTATAAAGTGCTCAGCCCAGTGCCAGCTCAGGGGAGGCTCTCAACAAATGTCAGTTTCTTCCCATTACCTCCCATGGTACTTTTATCAGCAGGTATCATAAAAGGGCTTTGAAATCACATCTCAATTCCTAACCTTGTAAGTTCACTTTGCAGGCAGATTCTGTAAGGTGAGCCTGAGCTACACAGGTCCAAGATCTGGTAAGCAGCATGAGCTGGGTCAGTGCACAGGTCTGGTTCCCATGACAAGGCCTCTTGGAAAGACTGACTCGGCCAAGAATGGAACTTTGGTGGCCAGGAGGCCAACAGAAACTAGAGTAGCCAAAAAGAGAAAGGATTACTTGAGCTTCGGCTCCCGTCCTTCGCTTGTATACTGCCAACAGATGAGCCCAATGAGGTCCTGCACCCTGGCGCTGGCCATTGTCACCACGGTCATTGGCAGCAGTCTGTCCTGGCTCGAGTGCAGGGGGAGGTAGACATCGATCTTCTTGGTTGCAGTTGTGCCTACATGACCCTGTGGACAGAGCACACGCGTGAGAGGAAAGCACGCAGCCGCAGTCACGCTGCCCTGCTGGGCCCAGTCCCTGCTCTCCCGGCCTGGGCATGCACAGTCAGTGCTCATCCCTTCTGCACAGACCTGCTCTGCGTCTGGAATGGTTCCAAAGCGAGACCACTTTTCTTTTCTTCCTTTCTTTTTCATATTCTAATGGACCAATGGAACCAGCTCTGCCAGCAAGAAAGTAAATGAGCACTACAACTAAGATGGACATGTGAGAGTGGTGAGCACAGTCGATGCTGGGTGTCAGGAGACTGGCTTTGCTCCTCACTGAGACCCTGCAGAAGTCACCACGAGACCTGCCCACACTGGAAACGGCCAGATCCTGCCTGGAGAGGTTGAGATAAGCTGCCTGTGGGTACCATAGTCTCTGGGAAGCATCTGCACTGGCACCAGGTGTCTGCCTTAACAGAGACTGTGGGGGCTGGGTCCCTTCTGCAGGACATCTGCTGACTTCAGGGCCACACAAGTGCGCGGGTCCTTTGTCTTCCATTCTTGTCCATCCCCACATTGCTCTACACCTCCCAGCCGCCCCTGCTGTACCTCCCCTTCTGCCCTCTGAAGCTCCTGCACTAGTCAGCAAATGTCCATTAACCTAAAGCTGCCTCTACCTTTGTGCATTAATCAAAACTCGCTGTTTGATATTATTTTCTCTGTTGCTTCTCAAAGAAGGACACTTTTTCCTTTTTTATTTTAGAGGCAAGGTCTATTATGTTGTCCAGGCTAGCTTCAGCCTCCCAAGTAGCTGGGGTTATAGGTGTGCCACCATACCCAGCTCTGCTTTTTTTACTTTTTATAATCCCCACATCTCCAGGGCTAGGAGATGAAATGGGCATTCCTGTCCTCACTAACACTTCCAAACTATACCTTTCCCTTTCTTATGAAAACTGCTGCATCTTTGAAGCCTAAAACATGTACCTACACATACCTCTTCTCTCCTCTTTCTGTTTCTGTTATGCACCAAACTTCTGGCCATTCCTTTCCTTCACTGAAGGCTTGAGCTTAGTCTTCTTGGTTCTCAGTCTTCTTTCCTGCCCATAAATATACCCACTATGCACTATGTGGAAAAGTGCCACCGGCAGCAAGTTCAAACTGGAGCATTTTACTGTCCCTCATCCTCCCCACCTCAAGTCGCAACAGCTCCTTCATTCTAATAAGTGCTTCCACCATTACACCAGCTGCTTGAACCAAAAACCTTGACTCTTGCTGGACCTGGTGCCACAGGCCTAGGATCCCACCACTCTCGGTACCTGAGGCAGAAGGATCACAAGTTCAAACCCAACCTAGGAAACTTAGTGATTTAGTGAGGCCTTGTCTCAAAATAAGAAGGGCTAGGATATAGTTCAGCACAAAGGCCCTGAGTTCCATCCCCAGTACGTGCCTCCCTGATTTTGATTCCTTTTAACTCATACCACCTATTTCACTAGTAAGTTCTAGTATGTCTACTTCAAAAAGGCACTTCCACATGGGAAGAATAGTCTTTGACTAAACAATGCTAGGACAACTGGTTAGCACCACACAAATTACACAGTATACATAAATATTATTTCAAAACGCACCAAAGACCTAAATATAAGAGGTAAAAGTATAAAACTCTTAGAAGGAAACAAGAATAAATGCTTGTGACTTTGGATTAAGCAATGATACCTTTAAAATGACACTCAAAGCACAAACAACAAAATGAATATATTAAACTTCATCAAAATTAAAAACTTTTGGAAAAAAAATTAAAAATTTTTGTCACTAAAGGACACTATCAAGAAAGTGAAAAGATAACCCTAAGAATGATAGGACATATCTGCAAATCATGTATCTGATAAGGGTCCACTATCTAGAATATATTGAACACTCTCACAACTCAACATAAGATAATCTCCTTAAAACACTGGCAAAAAAATCTGAGCTGACATTTCTCAAAAAAAGATATACAAATGGCCAACAAACACATGAAAGGGTGTTAAATATCATTAATCATAATATAAATTAAAATCATGAGATACCACTTCATAGCCATTAGGATAGCAATACTGTAATTAATTCTCCCTAACCCCCCAAAACCACAACAAAAATGCCTGAAATGGTACATCAATTGTGTAAAACAAGCCAGGTGTGGTGGCACACGCCTGCAATCCCAGCACTCAGGAGGCTGAGGCAGGAGGATCCTTGTAAGTTTGAGACTAGCCTGGGCTACAAAGTGAGCTCAACTGAACTACATAGCAAGATCCTGAACTAAATAGCAAGATCCTGTCTCAAAAAGACAAAACAAAACAAAACAAAAAAGACAAGGCCTCTCTCTTGCCCAGGGGAGAGCTGAGCTTGTGACCCACCTGCCTCAGGCTCCTCTAAGTGTTAGGATTACAAGTACATACTCCTACAGCTGACTCACAGTGGAAATATCTGCAATAGCCAAACAATGAAAACAACTCAAAGGTCCATTAACCGATGAGTGGGTAAACAAAAGTCCATATAATGAAATATTATTCAGTCATAAAAAGGAATAAATAGATACATGCTGCAACGTTATGATAAGAGACAGAAACCACATGTAAAAGGCCAGCTATGCTGTGAACCATGTATAGGAAATGTCTACGATAGGCAGGTCCACAGAGAAAGGCAGTAGATTAGTGTTGGTAGATGGGGTGAGTGGGGAGCTGGAAGGTATGGGGCTTCTTTTGGGGATGACAGAAATGTTCTGGAACTGGATAGTAACAGTTCTATTATATTGTGAATATACTTAAAAACAAAATTGTACATTTAAAACAGGTGAAATGGTGAATTTTATGTGTTTTATCTCAATAAAAAGTTGAAGACTACATTATTTCAAAATCATCCCAAAGCCAGGCATGGTGGTGCACACCTATAATCCCAGCACTTGGGAGGTTGAAGCAGGGAGGATCGCTGCAAATTTGAGGCCAGTCTGGGTTACGAAGTAAGTTCAAGGCCAGTCTGAACAGCATAGCGAGATCCTGTTTCAAAAAGACCAAAAAAAAAAAAAAAAAGAAAAGAAAAACTCCAGTTCTCTGCATCTCCACTGCCACCAAAATGCCACCTGTACAACTGGCCCCTGCTACCTCTCCATCATTACCTGCTCCGAACACACGTCTGTGTGCACACGTGCACATTCGTATCCTGCCTGCACCCTTGCTTGCACCTCCCACTTCCAAGATCTTACCAGCTACTACTCAGTGTGTCTAAAAGGCTCTTTCTAGTTTTTTCAGGCCTGGCCGTCCTCTAATGTGTGCTCCTGGGCAGGTTACTAAGTCCATAAGATTCTTATAAGGGTTCCCATTTACTGTGATTATTCAAGGTTCAGCCCATATGACTCCTATTCAGAGAAACCATCACTAACAATGCTATAGGAAAAAGTCCCTCCCACAGTTATTCCCTCACTGTTCATTTCCTTCACAGTGCCCAATAATTTAAGATTATATATTTCTGTTCATCTTCAGTGTATGCCTTCAGCACTTGCCTCTGAACTTCCACAGGGGCACTGATTATGTCTGTTTGTTTACTGCATCCCATATGATGGCTAGTACTGTGTCTGACACATTGAAGACCCTCAAAAAAATCTGCTAAGGCAGATGTGGAGGTGTGTGTCCATCAGGAGGCTGAGGCAGGAGGATCTTTGAGTTTAAGGATTTGAGACCAGCCTGGAGAGCATAGCAAGGCCCAATCTTAAAAACAAAAGCCAACTAAGCAGACAACAAAGAAAGGGTACTAGATCATAAAATGAATGTCTGAATGATCCAAGTGACTACCAGGACCCCCGGTAGGAACGGAATCAATGTTTTCTCCACCCTCCTTCCCCTTCTTTACAGGCCTGTTTGCTGCTCACCCAGAGATGGAGGGACTGGAGCAATCACTGGTTCCACCCTCAACACTCTACAGTTCTATCATTCTAAGGTAAAAAGGTCAGAACTAGGTCGAGGAAATATTTAAAAATACTTTTACAGAAGTTTCTTCTCATATAACCCAGCACCTAACATTAGATCAACTGATCATTTCCTCTCAGCCTTGTCTCTACGGTCTAAAGCAAATAATGAAAAACTACATCCCCTATGAATGCTTCCTCTCTCTCCTCACCCACGCCAGCTCTTCAACCTGGAAACAGTAATTCCAATGGCCGGCTAAGGCTTCTCCACATAGCAATGTTTTGACCCCGTCAGGCAGGTAGAAGGTTCAAACTAAAACAGAGGCAAGCTTTCCGGGGGAGGCTTATAGCGCCCTCTTTTCCAGATGCAGACCAGTTGCCTGTTACTGCTCCCCACTTTTTGTTTTTTAATTTTTTTTAATTTTTAATTTTTTTGGTTTTTCTCCGGTACCGGGAATCGATCTCACAACCTTGCGTTTGCCAGGCAGGCGCTGTGCCGCTGAGCTAAATCCCCAGCCCCGCTCCCCACTTTTTGTTTCTGTTTCTTTCTCTTCCTTCTGAAAAAGTAGAGTCGAGAGGCTACAGGGACACAGTACTTCAAGACACAGAGACTCGACGGAACCGGGAATGGCATCTGCTTTAGTGCTTCAGAAGTGTGGTGCTGTATGCTTTTCGGCGTGTGAGTTTTGAAGTCAGACCCTTTTCTGTTACGCAAGCCTATTACATGGTCACACAAGGCCCAAATGGGTGCCACAGGGGCCCTAAAAATAATACTGATTCTTTTAACAAGAGCCAGCACTTACTTAGAGCTAACTGTTAAGCAAGCTCTGCTAAATGTGTGCCTACATTATCTCCTTTAATTCTCACCATGACTCCAAGACAAGGGGCTCCACCGTTACCTTTACGTTCTAGCTGAGGAAAAGAAAGCTTCTGGGGCTATGTTCACCGTTCAGTGTCCCAGCAGAGCCAGTACTCAACCTGACGCCAGGATGACTCTTAAGTTGCTACTTCACACCTCCTTTCCCTAAAGTTATTCTAAATGTAATGGATTCCCATTCTTCTCTTCCTTCCTCACTGACGTACCCAA